AGAAAGAAAGAAAGAAAGAAAGAAAGAAAGAAAGAAAGAAAGAAAGAAAGAAAGAAAGAAAGCCCTCATTGTATTAAAATATACCCATCTGAAAAATTCTTTAGCAAAAATCTGAATTGATATTATAGTTATATATGTAAGTGTTGATTTCCCAGATGATTCCACAATAGGGCTCAATGGATTATGGGACAATCACAGAGGCATTTAGCTTCTACCCTAACACAGGGTTTTAAAAATAATATTTATTGATATTTCTGGATTTAAAAGTCACATGTACAAATCATAGAAAATGGTTAAAGTATATAGAATTTTGGCCTATTTCTTTCCACCCAATGTTACAGAATTATTTTAAATATTAAAACTATATAGCATATAAAAAAAATGTATCCTGATTTTTAACCATAACTTCCTATATCATAAATATTTTCCCATGTCATTAAAACTCCTTGAGGACATAATTTTAATTATTTACAAGATATTCATACTGTTCATGAACCATAGCAAGACAACCATTATTCATACATAACTTAAATTTTCAGCATTTTATTTCTATTATTAATTAGGCTATAGTGAGTATCTCTGTGCATAGAGCTTTGCCCCATTGTGGATTATTTCCCTTAAGATAAATTCCCTAAAATTGTATATTAAAAAGATATGAACATATCAAAACTCTTAATACATATTACAAATTGCTTTCCAGAAAGATTTAACAATTTATAATCCCATCAAGAGCAAAGATAGTGTCTAGTTCACAAGAGTAATCTTTGGCAATATTGAATATCATATTTTTTCTTTGATAGGTGACAAACCTTAAAACAATACAAAACAAATAAAAAGGTATTTCATTAACTTATACTATACTATACCAACAGCATTTCCATTTTGATATTATTTAGTAGTTATTTTCTTTATATGGAGGCTGGCATAGCCAGGAAATCTACAGTTACTACCTCCTCTCTGTACCTTTCACACACACACACACACACACACACACACATATACCTACATTTAAACCTACACTATGAACACATACATACACACATGCCTAGGCATATACACACATACACACAAAATGCTTCAGATCCTGAAGACTCAGTGTAGTATTTTTTTTAATGTTCCAATGTTCTCTCCCCCCAATCCTATTCCCAACTAGAATGTAAGCTTCATCAAAATGGGGGCTTT